GTGATTCACTGGACCACATGACTTTTTTTCCAATGCTTGACTGTCCAATCCTTGTGTTCCTGTGCGAATTGGAGATGTTTTATCTTGGTAACTGCAGACAGCAAAGGTGTTCGAATAGGCCTTCAGCTTCCATATCCCATACGATTTAGTGTATGGCTAATTTGCCTACAAACGTCAGGTGGTCATAATAATCTGGCCACTCAGTGTATATATATTATTTAAAGTGGATTCTGCCCTGTTTCTATAGCTCTTAAAAATTCCCATGTGGCTGCTGTTCTCCCATAATAAGTTGTTAGTGGCTGGCCACACTGCCTGAGACCAAAGTGACCCCACAACTCTTGGACCTACCCAGACATTGCTTCTACTGGTGGGATGTTAGCATCACCTTGGTCTGACCTCAGCCCTTTCTGGAAAAGGTTCCTGAAATCTTGAAAGACAAAGCTGGGTTCAGGTGGGGCTCTGGCTTCACCATAAGGCTCAGCTTTCATGAATGTGTGTGCCCTGGAGTGGGGGTGTCCCTCTCATTGAATTATCTTTTCTGGCTTTGAAGGCAAAAAGTCCTAGTCATGCTCTGCATTTGGAGAGATACTCCAGTCTCTTTTCTGCTCCTTTTCAGAGTGAAGGATGGGTAGGATCTGGTATTGGAAATGTAAGACGGGTCCTTGAATGACTAGATAAGATGTCTGGACTTTCTTTCTGCTAGGCAGGGAGCACCAATCAGTAGGGAAATGATATGGCCAGAGCTGTGCATGAGGAATATTGAGAATAAAAGCTAAGAAATAGGGACTAGTTATGAGGCTATTGCAAAAAATCCAAGTGGGAGATAAGAAAGCCTCTCTTTGGGTAGTAGGAATGGGGGAAAGGAAATAAAAATGCTTAAAATAAGTAATATCCCATGAAAAGATAAGCAACTATTTAGATATAGTTAGTGGTTGACTCTCCCAACTTCCTGGGAGATAATGCATGTGAAAGTGCTTTCATGTAAAGTAGGATGTTACTATTAGTAGCTCATTGCTCGGCAGTTTATCCAAATCTTGGAAAAACTATTAAATATAATGATTGTCAAAAGAGTTAGATAGAAACAGAAGCCATGTTGTCTATGATACGATGACATGACATTTCATGAAAAGAAAGTTATCCAAATATCACATCTACTTTAAAGGCAATCTGAATTTTAAGTCTGAAAATTCAGGTTTGAAATGGCATAAAAAGGGAAGTTTCTCAAATGAGTCATAACAGGACAGGCTGTTCCTTTTGGCTGCTCTATTCAAGCTACTCTTCAATCTCAAAAGTTTAAAAATACATGTCTGCGTCCCAGAGGAGTCGTCATCTATGGGTTGGTACACCAACTTATGGTTTGGAAACAGGAAACAACTTGACTCACCTATTTCTCCATTGGGTTTTTAATACAACATTTCCCAACATAAACTTCTTTCAAATTAATGTCCCCAGGTTATTTCCAATGGATATGAGTACAACAGGCTACCATTAACATCTAATGGATTTCGCTTAGAGCTAGAAGTAGTATAAATGTATTAAGGGAAGGGAATCATGTCTTAATCCTGGTAGAATCCTTAGATCCCAACTCAATACCTGTCTCAGAGTAAGTGATCAATACATATGTATTAAATTAGATGTAATTGCTTTTAAAAATATATATTTTTATTGATTTTAGAGTGGAAGGGAGAGGGAGAGATAGAAACATCAATGATGAGAGAGAGTCATCATTGACCTTTTGTATATTTTCTTTAGAGAAATGTCTGTTCAACGCCTGTTCTCATTTTTTAAAATTGAGTTGGGTTTTTTTTTTGCTGTTGAATTATATGAGTTATTTATATATTTTGGATATTAACCTCTTGTCAGATATATAGTTTGCAAATATTTTTCCCATTTCTTAGTTGTCTTTTAACTTGCTTTATTTTTTTTAAAAAGGGATAGAATGAATATTTTATTGTCATTTATAATCTGATGGTAGTTGAGTATATACCGGTAGTTTCTATACCTTATCTATTTTCTTTTTTTATAAATAAAAAAAATTACAGGAGCCAATGGCTGGTTAACATTATTAAATTAATTCATTGATGGTGGCTTCAAGTTATTCCTTATTAGCTCCAGAAAACTCACCCATCTTTTGTACTTTTTTAAAAAACTGGAAGGTTGCCATGCATTTAACTTTATACTCTGCAGCAACATCCTGACAGTCATCCACATATACTTCAAGAATACCACAGTGGAGTACTTTTTAGAGAGGAATGAAGGAAGGGCTTGATCATTGTGCAAGGCCCACACCACGTGGTGGAAAAGTCAACTATTACAAGTTTACCTCCTGCACTGTTCAAGGCTTCCTGAGCAGCATCCTTGCTCTGGATCTGCTTTGCCATCTTGGTGCCTTAGGTCTGACCAGAGACTGTCAGAAGCGATGGGAGTGAATGAAATGTGGCAGAATGAGCTTCTTGATTTTTTTTAAAATAGTTGCTTTTGCTGTGCAGACGCTTTTTAGTTCGATGTAGTATCACTTGTTTATTTTGTTGTTGTTGCTTGTGCTTTAGTTGTTATAGCCAAAAATTATTACCAAGACTCATGTCAAGAAGCTTTATTTTTATGTTTTCTTCTAGGAGTTTCAAGGTTTCAGATCTTACATTTAAGTTTTTTATCCATTTTAAGTTAATTTTTGTCATTGGTGAAAGACAGGGATCCAGTTTCATTCTTTTATATGTGAGTATCCAGTTAGCCCAGCATCATTTATTAGAGACTCTTTTTTTTCTCCATTGAGTATTCTTGGCTCCTTTTTCAAATGTTAGTTTACTATATATGGTTGGGTTTATTTCTGGACTCTCATTCTCTTCCACTAGTCTATTTCTCTGTTTTTATGCAAATACCATACTGTTTTAATTACTATAGTTTGATACTATAGCTTGAAATCAGGAAGTGTGATACCTCCTGCTTTGATATATTTTTTTTAGGATTTCTTTGACTATGTGAGGTCTTTTGTAATTCTATATAAATTTGAAAAAAAAATTTCTTTTACTTCCATTAAGAATTCCATTAGAATCTGAATAGGGAGCACATTGAACATTCAGGTGGTTTTGGTAGTATTGACATTTTAACAATATTAATTCTTCTAATCTATGAACATGAGATACCTTTTTATTTTTTGGTTACTTTGATTTCTTTCATCATTGTCTAATAGTTTTTAGAGTAGAGATCTTTCACCCCCTTAGTTCAATTTCTTTCAAAGTATTTTATTGTTTTTGGTGCTATCATAAATGAGATCTATTTCTTCATTTCCTTTTCAGAGAATTGGTTGTAGTGTATAGAAGCACTACTAATATTTTTATGTTAATTTTGTATCATGCAACTTTATTGAATTCATTGATTTGATCGAACATTTTTTATTTGGTCTTTAGGATTTTCTTTATATAAAAGTATGCAATCTGAAAATAGAGATAATTATTTCTTCCTTTCCATTTGTTATATATTTTATTTCTTTTGCGTGCCTGATTTCTCCAGCTAGGACTTCCAGTAAATGCTCAATAGGAGTGTTAAGAGTGACATCTTCTCTAATCTTAACTCCATCCTACTCTCAATTAAATGATCAAGCTTTGTCTTTAATCAGAAATCAGTAGTGCTTCCTAAAAGCTATATACAAATAAGTATATTCCTAAGGCATATTTTCCATGGCAATTATTCCTTAGACCATGATCCCTGCTGGTTATGTAAGATTTGGTCTATGTGACTATGAGCCTTTAAAAACCAGGAATGTCCTTGTTCTTTGGTGCTAAAACAGCACTGTGGAATCAAAATAAGAAACATATACTTCCAAAGGAAGGGGCTACCAGCATTGACATTCAGGTGTGATTTCCTGTGCTTAGACTTGCTCCTTACTTGGTGCCTTTGGTAGGAATTCCTAGAAGTACAGCAGGAGACATACTTTCTCTGCAAGTGATTTTTGAGTGAGTTCTCTCAGATATGATCTTTAATTTTTATTTATTTTTTAATTAAATTTATTAGGGGAAGGTATGGTTTCCACAGGAGCAAGGGAAACAGGAGAGGAATTCAGAAGAGCCTGGACAAGGGTGTGTGAGACTTAGCTTCAGAATGATGATGGTATAGGGGCTTCTGGAGCATGAGTAGCACCCCAGAGTTGCCTCAGGGGGATGTGAGGGGGCCAGCCTTTAAAATCCCATGTTATTCAGTCATTGGCTGCAGGCTTCTCCCATTCCTCCCTGAGGGACTGCGCCTTGAGTAAACTCCAAGGCATCTCCAGGGAAGTTGTTCCAGTTAATGAGGATCGTTCTTTAAAAAAGGGTGGCAGCTGACATTCACATTTGGGGGCTGGGAGGAAGGTGAGTGTACCAGCCCAAAAAAGGGATCAGGATAAGGTACCAACAACTTCTGCTATCATAATGGTTTATCATAAATGTGTGGATGCTGAGGATAGTCATTTGGTTGCAGAGTCACATTGACAGTGGACTAATTTTGAACACCACACACACACACACACACACACACATTGGCTATACTCCTACTGTAGGAGATTGTGGGTGGGTTGCCTTCCTCACTATGGTTGGTACATGATTAGTAGCATTGTATATACATTATTAATTCACCAGGAATAATGAAATTATTTCCATAATGCAACAAGAGTGTTTTAATCCTTGGAATTCTAGTAAGGCATCCCAATGATTTTCATAGTACCTATACCTTCTTCTTTTTTTTTTTTTACATTATTTTGGGACAACCTGTATATAGAGTAAATATAGTTTTTATTTTTAATCCTCACCCGAGGATATTTTTCCACTTATTTTTAGAGAGAGTGGATGGGAGGGAGGAGGAGGAGAGATAGAGAAACGTGGATATCAGAGAGACACATCAGGTGCTGGGAAACCTGCAACCAAGGTACTTGCCTTTAACCTGGAATTGAACCCACAGTCTTTCGGTCTTTGGCTCAGTGCTCTAACCACTGCACACCTGGCCAGGGCCACAATAGCCATATCTTTTAAAGAAACGTTAGGTTGAAATTTACTGTTTAAAGTCAAAGTGACTATAAGGGTTATAATGGGCCCTAGCTCGTACTCTATATGTTGTCACAGGCATTTCTGAGCAGACAATGAAAAGAAGGACAGCCCATAGTTCTTAGCTAAGACAGCTCCACTTAATTAATGGGAGTGCATCATTGTGTAGAACAGCAGCTCCTAAGGAGAACCAATGAAACACCTTTCATTTATAGGGAAAGATAAAACTGGGTCGTAATGGAAGCATAGCTAGGAAATAGAAATGGAACTTTCTGATAATTCTAAACTGACCCATTCCAGACTTAGGGGCATATATCCTTTCTGGCTGTTTCTTCCTGTGTCAGTGGAAACATCCAGAGACCTTCTTTAGCAGATTATGTAGGTTTTTAAAACAGTGTTCATCATTAGGTGATAGTGTCTGCAATAGAGCAATGTGGGCAGGAGATTAGGGCATGACAACCAATCTCTGCTGGTTTGGGGTTGGAGGCAGGTTGTGAATTGTTTATGAGATAAGCTGCTGTCCTTTGTAACTACTTTGGGGAAAGGGAGGCTGTTCTGGTCTTTCTAAATTAGAAAGGAGCTCAAGTGACATAAGGAAGGTTATTGCTTTTCATTTACAAACTAGAGGTTGGGTGCATGACATTCATGCACTGCGGTGGGGGGATGCCCTCAGCCTGGCCTGTGCCCTTTCACAGTCTGGGAGCCCTCAAGGGATGTCTGACTGATGGCCTAAGCCACAGTTAGACATCCTTAGCACTGCTGTGGAGGCGGGCCGCTGCATTTGCCAGCCACCAGCTAGGCTTGTGGCTGAGTGACGCTCCCCCTGTGGGAGCGCACTGACCACCAGGGGGCAGCTCCTGCATTGAGCATCTGCCCCCTGGTGGTCAGTGTGCATTATAGTGACCGGTCTTTCTGAATTTCAGTCGATTTGCATATTACCTTTTTATTATATAGGATAGTTATAACAAAGAATGAAAGCCTGGGTTTTCTAATTAAGTAAGTGGCAAGGAATCTTTGGAGCAGATGACAGCTGAGGCATCATTATTGTGTTCATGTGCAAAGGATGAAACTTAAGTAGATGAATGTTTATTTTTATAAAGGCAACATATTCCTACCATCCTGTACTTAAAACCAACTGTCTCAAAAGAAAGTCTTTTACGAGATTACAGAGGCAAGCCAGGACTGAACCTGCCCATATGTGCTCACACCTTTTAGGTAAATGACTTTATTTCTCCCCTCCTATAAATGCTGGGCATAGCCAATGTGAGAAGGGCATACTGATGCTAATGTTCCAGTGAAGAGATGGACTTGAAATGGGCAGGCTGCAGGCACTTGCTGGCTTTAAGCTTGATCATTAATCATGGTACAGTCATGATTGGCGTCCCAACCTCAATCCAAGAGAAAATATATTTCTTTCCTTTTACTTTCTACAATGAACTTGCATTACTTTTTTTAAAAAAATTAAATTAATTGAGGCAACATTGGTAAATAACATTATACAAATTTCACGTATATAACATTATAATTTGATATATTTATACTCTCTTGAGTGCACACCACCCAAAGTCTAGTTTTCTGCTGTTACCATATAACTGACCCTCTTGTACAGTGTTTGAGATCAAACAACCTGTTGATGGGAGGCAGATCCGGGACCTCATGACTCACCTCCTGACTCTCAGGGCTTTCTGCTACACTTGGACTCAGAAGACTTGACCCATGGCTATTGACCAGGAAAAACCAGAGCTGGACAGTAGTTAAAGCAGTAAAAATAGATTTTACTCTGGAACGATTGCAATAGGGGAAAAGTGACCTTAGTCTAGAACTGGGCTTTGTTCTGAACACAGCCTGGGCAAGTGAGAATTTCAGCCAAGGAACAGGTTGGATGTCAATGGACGGAGAATTACTAAGAGGAAACATTGGCGTAAGAGGAATTCTGGCTAAACTGACTGGACAGGATTCTTGCTGAAGACATGTGGGGAGATCAGATGTCACCTGGGGGATGGTGGGAAGGGAATTTGATCAGATATCAAACCTGGGGACATGGCAAAACCAACTTGATGTGATTCTTGCTAAAACTGGACTCTATAAGGATGGAGATGGAAGCCTAAGTTTGGGCCTTAACTAAAGTTTGGTTGAGGGAGGAATTTGCAACCCATCTCTATAAAGTTCCATAATCATTTTCACATCTTCATCCTGTTGCTTTACTTATCTCATTGGGAGAGATAAGAGATACATGTAGAAACTTTGGAAACAGTAAGCCATTATTTAAATATAGCAGATCCTTGAATAACATCCTTTTATTATAATATTGATTAGATGCCCTAGGAACTTAACTCTTGTTTACCTTAATTTATCATATGGTAAAA